CCACTGCACTCCAGTCTGGGCGACCGAGTGAGACTCCAACTCAAAAAAAACCCAAAAACTAAAAGCAAACAAACAAACAAAAAAGACCAGGAATTTCCTCAACCTGAGAAAACCGATTGAAAAGAAAAAGACCAGCAACCTCACAATTAGCAATCTAATTCCACCCGAATCCTCAATTCTTTCTCGTCGTGCAGCATAACGCCTTCACAGGTGGATTAGGACATAGACATCTTTGGGGGCCATTATGGGGGTCAGTTACTCCCACCATGAGGGCAGGGGGAGAGGGACCATCACAGGCTGTGTTCCCGAACTCGGCCCCACATCCCCAAGTTCCTGCCCCTGTCCCTGACGCTATGCAGTCATTTCTCAGGGACCACGGAGAAGGGTGGTGGGAGGAGCCTGTGGGGGGGGTGGTGGTGATGTCAGACCGAGGGCGATGGCGAGGTGACCAGGACTGCACATGCTGTGTGCAGACACCGTGGAGGCCGAAGTGGGCATGGAGGTGTCTGTCGACCAGGAGTTCTCGGAGGAGCTCAATGACAACACTTCCAAGGTCTACCAGGATTTCAGCAACAACTTCCGGGATCAGGTGAGGGGGAAGGGAAAGGAAACTTAGGGGCCCTCCCTTGGAACTGGGCTTGGGTCCCTGGCTGCCCTCAGGCCTGCAGATCCAGATGCGAGCCCAGGGATGCTTGGCATTTCAGATGCAGAAGGTTTACCAAAATGTGCAGGGGTTCAAGGATGTGGAGATCCTGTCCCTGAGGTAGGAGACCCTTCTGGGGATGCGTCGTCAGGTGGGGGAAGGTTGCAGAGAATTCACCTTCACTTTTGGAGTCATCAGAGTTCATAAAGAGAGAGGTGGAAGGAATATACAGGGGAATCACCCCCAGGGCATTTTTGTGATCATTTTCTGGGGCCGTTTCTATGTGGAAGAGGGGGCACCCTTCTTCCTCAGCACTCTGGAAGGAGAGAGAGGTTGCAGGGATGTGCCGGGAGGTGGTATCTGGACTGGTGACTTGCCCTCCCACTGGCTGGCCCCTGCTGCCTTGGGTGGGTCAGCATGGGAGGCGGGGGGGGGGCGGGCAGGGGGGCAAAGAGCCCAGGAGGGCCTGGTGGGTGATTGCTTGATGCAACACAAAGAGAATGTCAGTTACTCCTTGCCCCGCCTTCCCAGGCTGACCAAGTCAAGGATGCTGGCAGCCCCTTCTGAAAAGGATGCACCTGGCATCCCGACTCATGACCTCTGCCCCCTTCTTCCCATTCCCATGAACTTGTGGTTGGTCCTGGAGGTTCCCCTCCACGGACCTATGTGTCCCGGGCCAGAGCACCCTCTAAGGCCTCCAACATCTCAGGAGTGGCAGCATCGTGGTGGACTATCTGGTCCTGCTGGAGTTGTCCTTCAGCCTCAACCTGGACAGGGAGTATGAGAAGGTGAAGACAGCCCTGAAGGAGGAGCTCCAGAATGCCAGCCAGGATGGGGACGGCTGCAAGGCCAACCAGAGTGAGCCGAGTCTGAGGGAGGGGTCAGGGTCAGAGCCACCACTCCAGCCAGCTCCAGCTCCATCAGGGGGCCTCTGGGCTCGGATGCCAGCTTTGTGGTACCTCTGGAGGGTTGAGAGAAGGGCACACCTGATGGGGCCAAGGGTGGGGCTAGGGAAGGTCTCACCAGGACCTGGAAAAGACCCCCTGGCAGTTATTCCCAGTGTTTCCAGGGCGGCCGGAGACCCTGCTATTCCGGGGAGATGAGAAAGGCAACAGGAGACTGCCCTTGTGGTCCCTCCACACTCCTCTATACTGAGATACCCCCCTCTGCCTTCCCTGTGCCTGCCCTGCTTCTTGGACACTCCTTCACCTGCCTCGACCAATTCCATCTGTGCTCGTGTCCGCCCAGCCATGTGTTTTAAGCCCGACTCTATCAAGGTGAACAACAACACCAGCACAGAGCTTACTCCGGAAGGTGAGTGGGCAAAGGGCTGAGTAGACTCAGGTGGCCATGACCCCTTCCACCAGGAACATCTGCTCATTGAAGTCCCCCCGGGGGAGGGGAGACCTTCGGGGAGGCGAGGGATGTGGCCCATGGCTGCCCTTCCTGGCCTTTGTTGCTTCCACCTGAGGACCAGTAGGGGCCTGACAGGACGAGGATGCAGGGGCCTGCTTTCACCTCATCGGATCCTAAAGTCTGCCCCCGGACACCCCTCTCGGAAATGTAGACCTCCCATGCTTTTCAGAGTCACCATAATCAGGCCCCTGGCAGAACGGATGAGGTCCCCGTCATCTTCAACCCCCTCCCCGATCCCCCAGCCATCTGCCGCCGCGCGGTTCCCGAGGGCTACGAGGAGTTCTACTTCCCCTTGGTGGAGGCGAACCGGCTCCGCTGCGTCACCAGATGCACGTCGGGCGTGGACGGCGCCTTCGACTGTAATCAGGGCCAGTGCATTCTGGAGAAGAGCGGTCCTGCTTGCCGGTGAGG